ACCCCACCCCCCGCCCCTACACCCCCAAACACCTCATACACACGCATACATATACATCTATATATATACATATTTGTGCATATTATTACATACATAATTAAAATCCCTTAGGGGAAGAATTTATAGTCTATAGTATTTTAATAAGACAAATAATACATAGATATGACAATCAACAGAGGAGGAGCCATTGAGTGTTGCATGTGTGGAGACTATGGTTTATCTTCTGAGCTTTTCAAATGCAAAATTTGTCAATTTAGATCTCAACACAGGTACCCCTTTCAAATCTTTTCCCAAAAAAAAACAATCTCTTATAATTATGCTATTTAATTTATTTCTTTTCCTCTTGAAGAGCTGGAGGTTAATTTCGTGACATTTCTGACTAGCTGTTTTGTATTTCTAATAAGTTGTTTAATAGTTGACATATTTATTAATGTATCGTATACATAATATGATGGGGTGGTTTAAATTGATCATAACATAATTTATTTTTGCTACTTAGTTTATTTTCTTGGATTTTCTTGAAAATATAGTGTGATTAAAAGGCTCTTTTTTTTTGCAGATATTGTAGCAATTTGTATCCAAAAGCTGAGTCTTATAAAATTTGCAATTGGTGCTTGAGTCCAAAAGATGTTTCTGGAGAAAAAACACAAAATTCATCAAATTCTTCATCATCATGTAAAAATACTACAAGTGATCAAAATATTATTCAAGATGGTCCAAAGTTGAAGAAAAAATTGATCATTAGGAATGAAAATAATGATTTTATTGGAAGAACAAGTCCAAAGGGGAAAATAATGGGTTCTAATTGTAATTTGAAGGTTCAACTTATCGACAAAAATCCCATCAAATTACAAAAGTCTCCTTTATTGGCTGCTAGAAAAAGGGTCATAATTGATGATATAAATATTGAAGAAAAAGTAAGGAGGACAAAATCAGAAGAAATGTCGAATAGAGGGATCACAAGAAAGGTATTTAAAAATAGGGTAAGAAGATATAAGCTCTTGGATGAAGTTTCAAGTTAATTCATTTTCAAGAGTTTATAATTTGTAGATTTTTATGTTTTTTTTTTTTTTGGATGTGTCTCTTGGATGAAGTTTCAAGTTAATTCATTTTCAAGAGTTTATAATTTGTAGATTTTTATGTTTTTTTTTTTTTTTGGATGTGTGGTAGTTTTGGACTTTGGTGGTTCTGAAATTTCACACATACAAATTTATGAAGAGAAAAAAAAAGGGGGTTGATTTATTGGAACCCTTTGATTATGATTTGAGAAATTTACAATGTAAAAATAGTGTTAGTGGAGTACTTTTTTTAACTTTGGTTCTATTTTTCTTTCTTGTTCCTAATAATTTGCTTGTTCATTTGGAAGACAAAGAGAAAAAAAGAAGTGATAACCATGATCTTTCTTGATTTTGAACCTCATTATTAACCATTATTAAGGATGGTGAAATTAGTTTATGAAAATATATGTCTCATTTAATTTGAACAAATTTGAGTAGGCTAATGACCTGTCCGTTTATTAACCTAATTCATATTGATTCGCTCGATTCAACATACTATATGTACGTAGTCCAAATTAATCCATAATAAATCTTGTCAAAATAATTTTAGAAAAACTTTTTAAATTTCAATATATTATATATAATCATAACAAATATAATTTTTTAGATAATTAAACAAATGATAAAGAAAACAAACAATGAAATTTAAAGTAGATGAAAGTTGGTCGGGTTGGGATATTATGGCCTATTATTTAACTTATTTTTGACTTGGTTCTTAGTTCAAGTAATCTTTGGGCCAAATAATGAAAAATGACTTGCTTAGTATTCACCCGTTCAAATTTAACTAGAGGTAAAGTAAAAAAAAAAATTGCTTTGTAAGTTCTTAACCACAATTCTTTTTATTTAATTATAGGGTTTTAAATAGATCTTTTATACACATTAATTAAATTTCTTAACATAAATAATAAGTTTGGGTTAACACTATCAAATTCTCTCGAATCCACAATTAGCATTGCTGCCCCTTTTTTTTTTTTTTTTTTTTTTTTTTTTTTTTTGTATATATACAAGTAAAATTAAAGGAATAACAACAACATTAATAGCATACTCAATGTAATTTTACAAATATATAATCTAAAAAATAAAATGTACTATATATAAATAAATAAAAGAAATGAGAGTACAATTAATGGAGATAACAATCAGTGTGCCAGCATTATTATGGCCTATGGGTAGAAAATTCTGAGTGATTGTGTTATCCCATTAAGCTAGTGACAACACACTATATGGAAGCAATGATTAATTATTCTTTTTTTTTCCCTTTCATTTTTAGCCTCAAAAAGTTTGCAGGTAAAATGTGTCATTATTGAAAAACTGAATAATTTTCAAAATCATGTGACTAGCTACTAGCTTGGTGCCACGTAAAATAATAGAGATAGTGCAATAATGAAGTAGGGAAATGAATACAAGGCAAATCACATTTCTCACTTGTTTGGTTGAGGGACTAGATAGTCTTTAATGAAAAAATTACTAGTAATTAAGAGATACTATGAAAATGGTAAGAACTTATCGAGTTCATGTTTATATCAAATCAAAAAATATTTAAGTTATATAAAATGAGAAGTTTTCTCTTTCAATTCCTTTCTCAGTTTAACAATGTTTTTATTTTAATAAAAAATATATTTGTATTTGAGGTTTATATCAAATTATATCTAATTTACTATAGTTAAGTAATTTATAAATTGAGAATATATTAATTAATTAATTATAGAATTAGAAGCGAACTTCATCGATAATTCATCACTATTTCTCTCATATTTGCTATTTAGCTACAAATTTTGTCTTGTCGGTGAATCTTTTTTTTTTTTTTTGTGGAGTATTAACTACTTACCTTTTATCCTCAACCTCCAAATTTTTATATATCTAATATCATGTCATTAGTAGGCTAAAGGCGTGTCATGTCCTTTCCAATCACCTCCTCAAGTTATTTTTGGCCTACTTTTACTTCTCCTAATTCCTCCTTTCATCCAACATCTCACACTTCCTTTCTAATTAATGCATTTGTATGTCTTCTCTTTACATATCCAAACCATCTCAATCTCATTTTTCTCATGTTATCCATCACGAAGGTCACTTCAATCTTACCTCGTGGACTTTCAATCGATTGGCTAGCACTTTACTCTACATAATAATATTCATGTTATGATTTATTGATTTGAGGTAAATAATTATAAATTGATCAATTATGTAATCAGTGGATTAGTTGAGGATTAGCTTGCCGGCCAGCTCAATTCCTGTTTGATGGATGCTTGCAGCACCTTATTTAACAATACATAAAATATAAGACAAAACATTAAGTATTCAAGTAAACATTGAAACAATTAATAAATAAACATTAGTAAACGTAATTATATAATCAGAAAATTATATTTGGTAAGAAAGACAATATAGTGAAAGTATATATAAAAACACAAATTTGTATAAGTCATTTTGATTAATGAAAAAGAAAAAGGAATATTAGATTACGTGTTTTAAACCCTATATACCAAAAATAAAATAAAATTGATCCCTTATTTAATTCAAGTGGACTAAAATATTATGCTGTCTAAGCAATTATAGGGAGTAAGTATTAAGACTTCCCAAAATTTGATGAGACATTTGAACCAATTCTTATTTAGTGGACAACATTTTCATTGTCTCTAGAATTGGATTCTCTCTAGAAACTTCCTTGACTTTTTTTTTTCTTTTGTTTTAATTTTGGCATGTTATTAGATGCAGACCTTTTTTAAAGTCTTCAAGATTAATTTTGAAGGTAGAATTTTTATTTTATTTTTCAAATTTGAAGGAAGACTTGACTGAGTAAATTCATGTCCATGAAAAGAAGAAAACGAACAAGGACTAAATTAAAGAAATAAGTCTTTTTCAAGTGTTGTTGCAACTTGCAAGTAACTAAAATGAAAGTAATATACTAAATACAATTTCTTCATATTGATGAATATTTTTAAAGTATTCATTAAATAAGTTATTTTTTAAAGAAATTAATATAAAAGAGATAAATTTGTCAAATTATAATTAATTTATATATATTTTAAACAGATTTAAAGAATGATTACAAAAAATTAAAATAAGGAAGGTAGGCGTAATATCAAAAGTCATAAGGAAAGTGAGTGTTATAGAGTGAAATCTCGAGAATTGCTTTTAAAATTATCCCAAAAAAGTAAGGTAGGTAGAACTATTATTAAGGGGAAAAAAAAAGGTAACAACCATACAAACGAGCATAACTTTCATATAATTTTTAAAATTTATTCATACTTCAAAGTATTTATTTTGGATATAATTTATAAATATTTCTTACACTTTTTCATAATTTTTATCACTAATTTATCATATTATTTCAAGTTTGACTTTTTAGAATTTTAGTCACTAAATATTAGTCATGTAATTAATACTCATTCGGCTTATTTTAGAATGATTTAATACATTTAAATTATGATCATTTTCATTATGACTTATTTATTTGCAATATTTGTTTTATGTGATTTCATTCTTATTTTTCGTTGAATATTTTAGTGTCATCACTCATCACTCATATTATATTTTGTGTTATTTTCTTAAGAAGAACCTTAGATAATTGTATTTTTGTAGGACTAAAGAAATATTTAAAGCACAAGTTAATTACATATTTTTAATCTTGTTTTTTCGAATGCATTTTTGTTTATTATTTGTTCCAAATTATTTTATTCTTTATTTTCTTTTTACACCATAATCTAATTCATACTCAATTTTTATTTTATACACTCCTTTTCTTCTTTTTCTCATTATTTCTTTATTCGTTTGTTTTCTCTATTTCTTTTTTTTTACTGCTTTTATTTTTCTCCTTTTCCCGATTATTTCTTTATTCTTAAATATTTTTCTTCCTTTTTCATTCATTTTTTCTTAAAACATATTATTCTTTATTTTCTCAGCACAATTTAGTTTCATATTTTTTGTCATTCACAAAATTAGGATGAAGGAGATAGCTGATTAGATTATGAGAGTGAGAATAGGGAGAGACTGAAGGAGTGAAAATAGGAGTGAGGAATCGTGGGTTTGGAGTGGAGAGGAGTAATGTATCCGGACAGTTACGTTTTTTTTGATGAAAAATAGAGATTTTTGTAATATTTTGAAATAGTAAAAAATAATGGAGAATATCGTAAATAATGATGTATAGATAGATAATTTTTCCTAAAAGAAATAGGAATATTTTGAGCCCATAAGCCCAAAGACATTGGACTCCTTTTGTCAACAGAGGGACGACCATCAAGCTTACCCCAGCGATTTGACAATTAAATTTACTTAAAGTTGAGGGTACTTTAGTCGTATCCTAACACGTGTGATTACTTGAAATCTCATATCCACAATTATTGTTTTAAAAAAATCAACCCAACTCAATCCAATTTTGTTTGGGTCAAAATGGATTAGGTAATAAGTTATATAACAGGTCAATATCCAAGCCACCCCAATTTTTACTAAAATTAATTGTTTTATTTGTTTTTAAAAACTATTTTATTACCTACTAAAATTACTTTTTTTCTTTATTATAACTATATATAATATATCAAACTTTTTAAAAATATTTTGACAAGATTTCTCATAAGTCAATTCGGATTACATATCAACCCAATTTTAAAGAGTTGAAATGAGTTAATGTAATGAATGAACGGGTCAACAATCCGCCCAAAACTAAATGGATTGGACGGATTGAGTGTGTTGAGTTTGATTTTGCCAGCCTTAGCAAATAGAGAGATTTTAGGAAAAACATATATTGCATTAGTAAGGAAATAAATAAATGAAATATAACTACTTATAATTAGTAAACAGAAAACGAAAGTACATAAGGAAAATAGAGAGATTTTAGGAAAGTATTACATTGTATTAATAAGGAAAGAATAAATGGGACAATTAAATTTCTAATACTTAACATATATATTTAACAGGTGTCATTTCAATAAATATAATAAATGCTAAAAATAATTAATAAGGAAATATATAATTCTTTGTTAAAGTTTTAGAATAGAAAATAAGTAAAAAAATTCGAAATTCTGAGAAAATAGATAAATACCGTTTTTTGCCAATAAAGCATGTCACATCATCATGCTTACATTCAGCTTTATACGGGTACAAATATTTTTCAAATCAACTTGGTTTTCTCAAATATAAGAAAAATGACACATCTCCAACAAGTCCAGTTTTTTTTTTTCAAAACTCATTTTTCAACCTCACATATGAATTTTTGACCCTAACTTAAGTCTGTTGTACCGATTCTTCCTACTAATCCAAAATTTGACT